ATACAAATACAGGCCATTTACCATTTACTCCCCAACACTGCACTTCAGTTTTTCACTACTCAGTCTTCAAATATTAGACAAAAGCCGAACTCAGCTCAGAGAAAGAGACTGTTATTTTTAGCTATTTATTTTAGCATGACAAAAAAAAAAATAATGTTGACAACCATATACTAAATTAGCAATGAGTGTGCAGATACCTACAGATAGCCAGAGTGAGAGAGAGAGATGGAGGTCTGGGCTTTATCCTGGTTCAGCTGAATACTTCACCTGAGTGGAAATCGAGCATCATCAACACACCTGTGCTTTCCAAAACATGCTTTGGGTTTGTTGTTTCATTTATCATGTTGTTTTAACAGGCAGAAGGTTTAGAGGGATGACAGCAAATAGAGAATATGACAGAATCAGGGTAACCCCTGATTTTATTGATCCCACATCAGAGGTTTAAATTCAGGCTTCATCTGGTATCTGCTACTTCTGACATGTACTCATGTGAACACCCAGTGATTCTGGAAGCTTTAATAAAATAATAAATTTACTAATGTCCATAGCACTCAATAAAAAGCTAAATGCATGTAATGTTTATGTAGCAATATGTTGATTACGCGCTTACCTTATTGTTCATATGCAAACGCCCCACCCCCACCCCCACCCCACCCCCCAAAAAAAGCACAGCAGCAAAAAGAAAAAAATTGGAGAAATACTAAATAAGCTGTAAATATTTATTGCTTATTTGCACAAGTCCATTAAAATCTCCAGCGTCAGCCTCCAGCCTCTTCTCTCACTCTTTTATGTCTCTGTCTATATTTCTGCAGAAACAAAAGCAGGAGTGAGTCAGCCGGCAGAGGAGAAGACAAAGAAATGCAGCCTGAAGACAGAGAAATAGAGCAGTCCTCTGTGCAACACAATGCTGCTCAGTCTGCTCAGTCAGCCCTACACAATGACAGAAGATTGTGTCTGCAGATTCACTTTTTCAAAACATCAGGGCTTCAATATTCCTCTACGGCCAGGCCTTAGTTACCACCTTGAGAAAAAAAACAAAAGTTTCTACATTTATTTTGTGTCACAAATCTTGTGTAGAGAGACAGTTGTATAATTATGTTTGTTTTTGTTAAAGCTCCCCCCGCACTAAATGAAAACTAGCCTATTGTATCCCCCAACTGGGATTTATTATCTGGTTAATGGGACAAGCTTTCATGTCTTACTCACACATATATTATCATAATCTGTCACAGGTTTAATATCCCGTTGATTTATCAAAGACAACAAATATTTTATTTGCAATCAATGTAGACATTTTCAATCAATTTATACGTGCCATGAATTCAACATTTATTGTTCCATCTCATAGCAATAAAATAGCATCAGAACCTTGTAAGTAACCAGAGACAAAACCTTCGATTTAAATTCAAATGCCGCCTCGTATGAGCAACCAGTAAAGACAGAAATAAATGTGGGTTTATTGATATTTTATAGTAAACCTATATTTGGATTTTTGAACAACTCGGTTGATATTTACAAATATTTTTAAGACCAACTGCAATTTTATTTACATTATTAATAATTAGTCGATTAAACACATGGAAGAAACTAGAAAGCCATTTTTGATCATAATTATGATTTCCTTTGGCTCCAGTGGGTCTCAAACTGTTGAGCCTGCCTGGTGGGGCAGACAAGCACGGTGTGTGGGTGGCTGTGATTACCAAAGTTACAAAATAAGGTGAAACTAAACTGACTGAAAAATGTAAAAAGAGGCTAATGACCGTTGATCTGTATTTTGTTGAGCTGTCATCCTTGCTCGACTTCTGAAGGCGGGCGTGCCAGAAAGTTTGGTAACCACAGCCTTGAACTGTGTCTACACAGAGCACATTTCAGACATTTTCTTCAGACATTTGTCCCACGTATGTCTGACAGAAGAGTCGCTCATAGGTTAATCACACTGGGCATTAATTGAAATTCAATCTATAGAAGTTTATTTTCATGCTTTAAGTCTATTTTCATACATTCTGCGCTCACAGTTGCAGTGATTGCGTCCAACAAACTTTTACACACACAGAGCTCTGTGTAGATGCAGTTTCATGCTCTGCAGTTCTAAACAGACAAAACGTATAATGTCATTTCTTGGAAATATTTTTAATGTGATCATTTCTAGATGAAATGATTCACAAATAATCCCAGAAAACATATTTTTCTGCAGCCTTAACATCATCCCAAGCCTGCAGGTATTGACTCTGTAAACAGATGTAAAAAGAAATCCAGTCAGAAACCAGTCCAGCCATCAGAAAAGTAGACTAATTATACTGTAACAGCTGTCATTCTGGTTTTGTTTTCATTTTTAAGAATAGAGAATTACTCCCGATACAAATAGGAAGGCACTGCTTGTTGAATGAGAGAAAACAGAAAAACCAACCTGCAAGCTAAAGTGCAGCACATTAAACCACATCTAACTGCTGGTCTGACTCTGACTCCCCTGGTTATGCTTCAGGGCCACTGCTAACAATTGCCTGTAGCTTAAAGGCTACAGGGCAGATATGTTTACTTAGTTTGTTATTTGTGTGGCTAAGATTCAAACTCCTGTCAGTCAGTCACACACATGCAGACAGCTGAAGAGAAGCACCGCTGACCTTTCCCCAAAGTCATTTTAGTTCTTTTTAGCATAAAGGGAGGGAGAAAGCCTGTCTTTAAGTCTTTAAACCCTGTGTGAGCAATTGTTACTCAATAAGAAGTAGAAAGCTATGTCAGCTTACAGTAATGCATGTACTGATAACTAGACTATTACCCTTCTTGTAAATGTCTAGTTGATAAACAGGGTACAACCGATCGTCTCTAAAGCTCCATTTGCATATTTAGGATTAACAAGGAGGAATCCATCCTCAGTGAGTAAATTGCACCCTCATTTTTGACACATGAATGGTTCTTGGGAATTTAAATTCTGGTCATGAAACACCCTCTTGCATGGCACTGAATGTACAGTGACTTGTTGTCTACGCCCAAGGTACTTACTGTGCTTCATTTTGTACAAAAACCCCCAACAAATTTAAACACTTTTTTTTAACTGCAGCATTTTGTTTGTGTTCTAGTTTGTAACAAAGACATCTTAAAGTCATCAGCACACTAAATATTTGTCATGTAATCTGTCTTTGTATCACTGAAGTGGCATCATGTGACAATCTTTCTATAACCTTCACATCATACTTGACATGTCGAAATGGAATAAATGAACAAAACTAAATCTGAAGTTTCAGTGTCACTTTAGGAGATTAATCAGCCACAGCAACAGCCGTTTGTTACTCAGTTGCCAACAATGGTCACTTTATCCACGATGAACAAGAAGAACAGTAAAACATTCCTCCGCAAGCTTTGTTTTTCTCCTGCAATGTATTTATGGGTAAACTTGTTTTTTGAATGGTAGTAGTGTACTTTACTTGAATAACATGGATTTTTTTGTTCTAGTTTTACTTGATTGATGATTACATCTGTAATCTAAATTTGTTTGATACAATAAAATGTTTAAATTGGTGATTGTTTTCTTTTTTTTTGTAGGAAAGATTATATGAACTTCATCAGCAGTGTTAGCATGAAGATGCAAAGAACCAGGAGAGCTTTGCCCATTCAAGTGTCAAAAAAAGAAAACCAGATGCATTTTAGCAGGAATTCTTAAAGCCTTCACGTATCGTTGCATCATTGGTCATGCGCTCAGCTAAAGTTGATTTTAACTTTACTCTAAAAATAGACGCTCTGCTATTAAATAATTTAATGCAATCTGAAGCAAGAGCATAAAAGCACATATATTTTTCATAAAAGGACAAGATTTCTCAAATGCATTTTGTAACACTGCAGCAGTTTAAGCTGCGTGGGATACTGTATCTTTACAGACTGCTGTGAACAAGTTTAGCTGTTAAAGCGTTTCACCTTTGTGATTGGAGGTGGACATAGTGAAGGATCCTTTCAGAATAAAAGCCCAATTGCACTTTATCTGTTAGAGAGACTTAAAAAAAAAATTTTGTAATGTACATTTACGCTGTTGCACCTAAACTTTAGCTGAATTATAGAAAGGGTATCCATATCTTACAGAACAGTTTTTTCTTTAACACAAGACTCTTTGTGTAACAGTCATTACTGTCTTGCTGTGTGATGGATTTATATTCATTTTATATGAATATATTTATATATTCATACAGGGAACCAAATTCCCTGTATGTGTCTGCACATATACTTGGCCAATAAACACGATTCTGATTCTGATTCTGATTCTGATATTCAAAGTGGGTGTTGGGATGGAAGCTCAAATCATGCAAATCATACTGACAAGCAGCAGAGCTGTGTCTTCAGTTGCTGTTGTGGCATTTATTCATTTAAAGACTATCAGCTGATTCAAATTAGAAAAACATTTTTTCCTATCTGTTGTAAGAAGAAAAGCGATGGTGCAATTCCAAACTGCTTCACTGACGAGCATTAAAATATGAAGCTGGGTGTGAAGCTGAACTACCCCTGGGCCATTGCAGTCTTTGCTCTATAGCTCCTCTTGCTGGGAGAGCAGAGAACACTTTAAATTTGAATGCATGCTTAACCATCTTCTTTGATAATTTTGGCTGACCAAACATCGGCCTCTACCTCTTTATTATTTATTATTACTACTTATTCCTTAAAGTATTTCTCCCTTTTAAATTCTAAAAGCCTCTTTAGTTCACTTGCATTATTACTTTTTAATTCATTATCATTATTTTTGAGGTGCAATAACCAAGGAACTATGGTATGATTGCTTTCTAAATACAAGATAATTAATACAGAGTAATATCAAATTTTACCTTCTACAGTAAAGGCTCTTCAAAAGAAATTTAAAATATTGCTTTTAAGTAAAAAAAAAAAAAAGTTAACTGTTGTATGTTTGGAAAATGCAAAACATAACCGATTTAACTTAAGTTCCTATATTGAGTTGTCATGTCTGGATTACTGGCCCATGTGTAAATATGTCCCAGAAAAAGAAACAGACTACAAAAGACTCATATATGACACAAAGTTTATTTTAAGGTTAAATGATTGTTTTATGCTTTGAAAGTTCAAATGTAACTTACAGCTGTTTAGATGACAAATTAAATTAATGATATGGACTAGACTGTATAACATGACCAGCATGTGTACTTTTGTATTTAAATTATTGTAGTATGCTACATTTAAAATGAGGAAGTTTCTGTGATTACGCTACATCTTACCTTGGTAAGATCTCTCAGTTTTTAAAGTAAAAGGTATCTGAGTTTTGTTACAAAAGTGTTACTTTTTTCTATTCTGCAAACACGTATTACAAAGGAGCAGCTGTCTGCTATTTTGTATCTGTAGTGGGGTCTTGCAGGGATTTTTCTGACAACACTTCTTGTCTCGATCGCTGCTCTTTTGTCTCGCCGGGGTCTGAAAATCCTGGAGGATATAGAAGATTGGGAAAAGACATCAGAAAATCTAGTTAGGTTGAATAGAAAATAATATCTGTATGAATTCATCTCAACATGAGATCATTCTAAAATGAATTTAGATAACAAATCAAATCAAGGGTACTGAGCGCATTTATGGAACAAAGAGGCTTTTCCTAAGCCAGATCAGCAACAGGTCTTTTATTCTACTTTAAAAGAGGTTGTCAAGCTTTTTAAAGGTGATCTTTTTAAATTTGAGTTGTTGAAATATGTGCGAGCAGAAAAGGAGACTAAGTAGAATATAAAATTAAGTATAGACATTTAAATAAAACCTCAATTGTGTTTATTTTTTTATATTTTAATGCATATTTGTGATTTTTGCATGTATAAACAAATAATTATGCAACCCACCATTTGAGCCACTTTCCTTCCATTTGAGCTTGTTGTCCTCAGTGTGCCGTGTCCAAGTAGAGCGGAAGCTCACCAGCTCAGCTGTGATGTGTGCGAGGCTCCACTGCAGGCCTCTGGAGCTCTCCTTCCAAAGATTACTGGTGAAAGAAAACAGTGCTGTTTGTATGCATATTCATATTCCAGTCATGAAAACAAATGACTCAGCTTAACCTGAGATTTTCTACACTAAGGTAAAGGATTGCACTTTTTTTCCATGAAAGTATCTTCAAATATATCTTCAATAAAAAGAAAACAAATTAAAAGGAAAATAAGCAGCACATAAACAGGATTTTGTGCTGACACTTTTGGGTTCCTACTGACTTGGGTTATCCTTCTGGTGTGTCTAAAATGAGCAGTTACTGCTACAAATTTGGAGATTAATTCACCTTTGTGAATCATGTTTTGTCACTCAAAATTATCAAGTCATAATTATAGGTTTTTGACCAACTCAGCAAATGATAGTAACATAAAAACATGGTGTACATGCTCAACATATATATAGAAAGCAAAGAATTAGTGAAACTGCAAGCTCCAAGTGTAAAACTGCAAAAGAGCCAGAAACTGAAGTTTCCTGAATAACCAGAGCTTGACTCCAAAAGCATGTCAAGTAGACCTTCACGTTAAACTGACCAGCGTTACAGCATAATTAAAGCCTGAAAAAAGTTTGAAGTTAATTTCCTCCTTTTTGGGACAACTGTATAGATACATTTTTTTAATAAGTCCCCAGTTTGAATTCTATTAAAGCTAAAAAATGATGCAGTGTCAGTGCTGTGTCTGTCCATCTGAGTGACAGATGGAGCCATTTAATGACTAATTGTACTAAGACACACGAAGGAAGTAGGTTTTCAAGAGTTTTAAAATCAGTTTTAGTCAAACTCTGTGTGCCACTCAATATCACAGTAAAAACAGACTTCTAATGTGTGTCAAATGCTTTGGTGTTAACACTTTGTTAACATATTAATATCTAAAACCAAAAGTGCAATAAAGTTTATTTTCCCAGCAGGTTTCACAGGCCTTGTGTTTACCTATGTCTGTTGCAGGGGTCTGGTGGACCTGGGTTCTCTTCCACCAAAGGAATAACAATCTTTTCAGCCATATCGGTCAGCAGAGAAAATGTAGGATACACAATGAAGTCTATGAAACCTGCGAGAACAAAATCCAGCATATCAACATGTGAAGTAAACTGTTAGTGGCTCAAAAATACTAAAACCTTGTTACGTCTTTAATGTCAGTAAAGAAATTTGAGTGCATTTCAGTGATTCAAACACTAAAATTCAAAGGGCATATGCTGCAATATCACTGTGAACTGTTAAAAATAAAATGAACATAAATCTTGCCACTGGCTTGTTACTTTTGGAAAGAGAAAAAATGTGATTAGCTTCACTAGAGAATAAATTTTACTTGTTTTATGTATCTGAGATGGATATTTATTGAAAATCTTACAAAGGCATAAACAACAGACAAAAGCGATGAGGAAGCTGGTTTTAAAAAAAGAGTGTGTGATTTATGAGACGTACCGATCTGGGATTCAGCTACTAGGGTGGTTTGTCGATCACACAGTGGAGAGAAGGGGAGGCCGAGCTCTGCCTCTCTATCACCCTCACAAAGATAGAAAGAGAGAAAGAAGATACTTAAAGGGCATCCCACACAACACCTGAAAATAACTTTTAAAAGGTCAGTTTGTTCCAACAGTCGCCTCCTGAAACTATGAGACTGTTCAAATGTTTTTTAATTAACAGCCAAACAGAAAGAAAACGTGTTTCATAGGTACGCACACGTCTTGTTTCTGAGACAACAGCGCTCTCCCACACCTCTTCTGTTCTGATCTCCTTCAGATCCAGGTAGTAAAAAAAGCAGAGTGGGAGCAGCTTCGTGCAGCAGTCACTGTAAATACACTCACTACAGTCGTGCCAACTAACATCGCCAAAAAGCCAGACAATCAGGACAGCAAGCATTTTCTCTGTGGGGTAATTATGTTCTCATAGTAACTCAGACATCAACAGAAAGAGTCCCTCCGCCTGATTGGATAACTGCGTCTCCTGCTGAGCTGAAGAACAGCTATATCGTCAGCTGATGCTTTAAAGTCAAGACCAAAAGCCACTTCTTGCAGTCCTCAGCTTTTGGCTCATTATATTGTTTTATTATATACTTTTCCCCAAAGGTCAACAAAAACATGATAGCTTGACTTTCTATTTGGGGTTTGTGAGGCTTTAAAGGCAACAACACTGATTCTCTGCAGTCCTCTATTTCCCATATGTAACCCTTTAAAGTCAAGTGCATTACATTACATATGACATGTACATGGGTTTTTGAGACTACATAAGATCTGAAAAAAAAGTCATAACAAAAATATACATTTTTAAGCAATGAATCACAAAATAAAGCAAAATTTATTTTGATATTGAATTTATGTTTTATTATTTTGTCAGAATGTTCAATAAACAATTATTATTAAAGCAATTATTTCATGGTTCAGGCTTTAAAGGGTTAAAACTTGAGCTGTTAAGATCGATTAATTTTTTCAGTGCCAAAGTAATGCAGAATAACCTGTTAGGAGAGATTTTCCTTCTCTGCTGCCTCTGCGTCATATCAACGAGATATTTTTATGGATTTCTTTAGCTCTGACGTAATATCCACCCTCCCTATACAAGCAATTTACAAAAACTGCTGCCTCTTATTAGGCATGCAGCCCTTTGACTCATCAATCATGCAGTTAATAACAGAGCTAATAAGTCAGATGGAGACCAGGGAGCACCGGGGCAGATATGGAGATGTCTAAGAATATAACATAATGTGTTCTTTTATATTTTGAATTTACATTTATTGTGTGGCAAAAGCCTGGGAGCACCGAGAACTACAAATGAGCTGGCATCTAAACCACATGCAATCAAGGACAACCTTTGAGACAGGCTACATAAACTCTAATGCACTTTTGTTTTAGAAAATGACCGCCATCCTTACTAACAAGCCTGGCTAACAAGCCAAATCACATATACTGGGAAGCCAGTGCATGTAAGTGCATGTAAGTGCATGTAAGTGCATGTAAGTGCATGTAAGAAGCTGAATGATAAATTGCTGGATTTAACCGCTACAGGCAACAAAGTATATACATCATCTTTGTTGGCTTTGTGTTTAGGGCACAGCTAATGGCAATCCTAACAGATAAACAACAATAGTGTACAGCATAACATGTTAGTCGTCAGCAAGGTCGAACGACAGAGGCCTGGCAAATAAGGGAAGTAAGTGAAGGCACAGAGACTGATAAGATCTATAGAGGAAGTAAATGTCTAATATGGTAGGATAAAGAGAGAGGCCTAACATACTATGTACTAAGCTCTCTCTGAGGTATGGCTTCAGGCTGCAGTGAAACATTTTTTCACCACTGAGGAATCAAATTGGAGGATTTGGACTTCCTCTACAATCATCTACAATCATCATTCATCTGCAGAGTATAGTGAACAAGAAAGCTCACAAATTTGAATCTGGACTCCAACGTGGAATCAGTGATGTAAGAACAGTGGCATCACAGTGGCTACACTTTATTTTTATCCAGTAACAAGATGTCCTGTTTTAATTAGTGAGTTTGGAAGTTAGCAGGCAGCTTTTCTTGTTGGTTGGCGAGATTAAAGCTAGTTGTTCTCCTTGTTTTCTGTATTTGCACTAAGCTGAGCTGGGTAGCTGCTGGCTTAAACTCTTTATTGACTACACACTATTTACTGTTCATCTTCTCATCTAACTGTTGGCAACAAGTAGCTTATTCTTTTATCCAAAACAAATCTTCTTTCAGCTTCTCTCTTTAGGTGTTGCCACACTGTCCTCCTCTGTCTCAGGTCTTCCTTCACTATATCCATGAGGGTCCACATTAAACATGCTTTGTCCACTTTATGCTTGATCCCTCCTCTGCACATGTTTAAACCATCTCAGGCTCATCTCTCTAACTCTAACTGATGTACTCATTTGTAATTGTGTCCATCCTTGTCACTCCCAACACAGAGAGGACTACGTTTGGTGACTTTGCCACCAACTCTAAGCCACATGTCATAGCCAATCAAATCACAGCTGACACTCTTCTCCACGCACTCTGCCCTCCCTGCACTCTCTCCTTCACATCTCTAGTTATCCTTGTTGACATGAATCCATGCTCATCACTAGTCAAAATAGTAGTTATATTGTGCTTAAAAGTGGGGGGTAAAGACCCACTGAGCAAGCACGTTTAGAAAGTAGAAAAAAAATTCTTGATAACAGGAAAGAATCTGCAACAAAACAGGCTCAGAGAGGAGCCTGCCACTCTGCCCTTGAATTTGTGTGAAATAAAAAGAAGAGCATAGCGAGATGACAAACAACAAATAGGAAATATCTCAGGCCTGTTAAGCAGAATATATATATATAGTGCCTACCTGTCTGAAAAACTCCTCCATCAAGGTTTTGGTCCAGCGAGAGTGCAGCGCCCAAGGCTTGGATGGATGACTTATGTCAGCCGTGTGCAGTAACAGAGACAGTGCTTTGGGCTTGTCAATCCTGGTGTAGAGAGCATAAGGCAATCACTGTTTTAACTGTTGTTTTGTTGTGTCTCCAGACTGAAAAGCAGACTAAACAGCAGCCAGCCTGAACCTAAACTGCCTGCATCATGTGCAGGCTATTCTAATCAGCTCACTGCACTCCAAGCATCTATTACATGGCCTGCTGATTATGCGCCACAGTGCAAACAACAGCACAGTCTATTAGCAGTACCGTTCTTGTTGTTGTAGACAGGATTTCATCGCTTTGACTTGGAGAAGGTGGGAGGACATGTCCGTGGACAACACCATCTCTATAACGAGTGACCGCAGCTCCCTGTGAGAACGCACACACACAAAAACACACAGTGTACAAGTTGACCTTGGCTGATGAGGAGTGAGTAAAAATGACAGACAGGAAGGCTCAATGGGGTTGTAACCTGTTTAGATTTCCTAATAGATTTCCTTGTTCCCATGGCAACACTGACTGCTAGAAAAGCCCACTAAAGTATGCAGCTGGGGTTTATCTTGTGTGATATCAGCACAGCTCCCCAATCGCATATTCTGTGAGTAATATATGAAGCAGCAGCCAACAAAGAAACTATGCAGAGTATAGATATGTTGTTATCGCAGACTGCACCGCAGACCATCAACTACAGCTAACTTTTACTTTAAATGTATGTATCACAACATTCCTATAGCATCTACCAAATGCAACTTCTTTACTACATTTCCAAGTTTAGACGCTGTAGTCAGAGTTTGTTATGTTTGTTGTTCCTCTGCTGTTTGGTGAATATGTCGTTACACGATATCTTAGGAGGTCAAAGACCAGGGTCAGCTATAAGAGACACTGTATGCTTTCCCATAAGTGCACTAACCAACTTGAGGTCTGGGGGCTGTTTCCTTAAAGCAAAGCATGTCAGTTTATATGTAAAATAACGATAATAAAATAGAATAATGACATAATTATAAATGTCGTCACAGATAAAAATCGAAATGTTGTCGAAAGCCACAAACTAGCTCCAAACTACAGAACTGGTATTTAAAACTAGTGAATAAATGTACTGCAATTGTTTCAGTCGATTCCATATATCCATAATAAAATAAAACAAAAGTATTAATTAATAAAATGTTACTTTTTGGCCAATTCGTTTTTCCTAGAGATCACATTGGAAACACACTAAGATAAACAAATTATAACTTTGCTCTCCTACATTCTCCTGCAGCATGAATTCTCCGTTATTTATTTTTCTTCTCCCAATGTTGTATCATACCTATGCATATACACGCATATGAGGACTTACTGCAAACCTAATCTACATTTAACAGCTGTCTTTGCCCAGACTCTAACTAAATGTTGCTGTTGGTTAAAACCTCATTTATAACATTGTTAACCTATTTATTTCTGCAGGGGACTTTTGACTTTTCAGAATGCCCTTTAACACCAACAGCTCGACGGGGACATTTTTACACAGGCTTGTGAAGTTCATACATACAGACAGCAAAAACGTTTCTCCAACAAGAGATCAACAGGTGAGCAACTGATCACACAGCTAATAGAGGAGGGAAAACTTTTCTACGACCTATTTATGTCTCCCTGTGACTGTCTGCTCGGGAGGGAAAATGGGTCATGATTTATAACACACAAATTAATTATTATTAAGGTTATGAAAATATAAAAATATTAACACTGTAAAATGTTGAGGTCTTACATCCATTCCTCCCGCGTCAAATTAATAAAGATGTTCATTTGGTCGTCCAGCAGTAGGCGGAATGCTGCACTCAGGTGATGGCTCTCTTGTACAGACCGGTCATTGTAGATCAATGCAAACTCTGACCTTGGAGACAAAAGGTGAGTGGAGATTATTACAGACAGTCGACGGACAGATGGGCAGGTTGTAAAGTGTTCCTGTGCATTAAAGTGAAAACTTCAATAACACAGTTGCTCTGAGTGAAGGAGGTGAGACTGAGATAAAAGGAGAGTCCTCTGGGAACAATTTAATGACTGTGACTGCAAGCCTTTAATGATGAATTTTAAAGTGCTGAAGAGGAGGTGGGATGTAATGAAAAATGACACAGTGTGGGTATTAATGACTCACTAAAGTAAGATAATTAACGGATTTATCAATCAAGCATCCTGTATCCCCTCATTGTCATTCAGCTGTTAAAATGGGTAATAAAGCCCACTGTGGACAGTTTTCCAATTAGTATTTATTTTTAAGCTTCTGCCACCTTTCACCAGTGAAATAAACATTGAATAAAACACTTAAGGAAATGGTTTTAAAGACAACAACACAAAGGTGTGTGTTAAAGTGGTCTGTTGGGGAGTGTAAAAAGTGTGTGGTAAAAAATGAAAAATTCTGGTAAGACTTCTGTGGGTCTGTAATTTCCTAATATTCATGATTCAATTCAATTGAATTTTATTTATACACCAAATCACAACAATAGGTGACTCAAGGTACTTTACGTTGTAAGGTAGAGAAAAACCCAACAATCATATGACCCCCTATGAGCAAGCACTTTGGCGACAGTGGGAAGGAAAAACTCCCTTTTAACAGGAAGAAACCTCCGACAGAACCAGGCTCATTTATTCATAATGTTTTTCCTTTCATTGCTATGCAGATGACAGAGACATACTTTTTTTTTTTTTTAATCTAGTGACCCTAAAAGTCTAGCTGATGACTTTATAACTATTTAGTCTATATAGTTATATTTCGTAAATACTGGGTGGCACATTTTCGTCAACTCAATACCTGAAAATTAGAAATTATATTACTTAATCTTACAAATTACAGTGCAAAAGTCTCATTTCTTTATATTTCTGCTTGGAAAATGAGAAAAAAGGCAAAAGCACCCAAAATGTGTCTTTTCTTGATGAGGCTTCAGTGGACAGCAGATCATCAAACAAAAAAACCCCTCAAACATTCCTCTGAAAATGGTCAAGGCACAAGAACTTGATGCTCAAGACTTTTGCACAGCGCAGCACAGTAGAGTACTGTTCCTTTGGTAATCGCCAGGTTAGGCTACTACGTTCTCCTCTGGTTTACATGGAAAGTTAATTTCTTGGCTTCCTACTCATTTTAGCAGACACACATTACCCCGATCCTGATCCCTTACTAGCTCTCTGCCTGTTTTAGAATTGATTTTAAGTGCAATCACATTTAACACATGTTCGTGTCTGGCCCTGTGCCACATTCAGGCAGCACTTCTGCCTGAAAGTTGAGGCTTAATGTCAAATGCAGTCATGGCTTTCGCATCAGGGCCTGTCAGCTATGAAATGAGGAGAAATGTTTGAAATGAGGAAGTCTCGTAGAATCAGAGGCTTCCAATAAATCACTTCGTAAAATACATTTTTATAGACGTGCTTTTATGTGATGCCATTTCATGTGATGTCGTCCTTTATAGGTTTTTAATGTTTGAATAACATCTCTCTCGTCTTGCATATTATTTCTGATTTTTCTTTTTTAGCCTTTCATTATTTGTTTTGCACCCACATTTTAATCTTTCTTTTTTTCATTTGAATCTGTCTCCATTTTAAATAAATTGCACCTGTTATTTTTGTTGTTTTATTCTCTTTGTGTCCTTTTGCTCGTCAGGCAAGGCACTTTGTAAAGTCTGTTGTTAAAGGTGCTATACATAATAACTTATTGCATTGATTTTTCAGCCCATATCATATATATTACATATCTATCTCAAAGTCAGATGATGTTCCATGTAGAGTTACTGACTTTGGGATAGATCTGCTGTTCAGATGTGGTCTTTTACTGTGGGCAGGCATCTTTGTACTTTATTCCCGAAATAAAGCATGATGATGATGGGTGCCATGAGACTACGTTCTTCAGTCCTCCTAAGTGGAAAGTCTAAAAATACGATGTTCTGTCCATGAAGTTGTGTTTGCCTTAGAGGGTTCTCACTCGCTCTCTTACTAAAACGATACAGAGGAAAGAAGAAAACTATACTGAGGTACGCTTTAAGAAAGCGTACCTCAGTATTTCTGTACTTCCTGATATCTCTTACTATTTTACAGTTTCATAACAGGAGGTGGCTCATATATAGCTGAGAAAATATTGCAGAAAAAGAGCTTACTTTGTGTGGATGTGAAAGTTATTGGTAGTTCCTGTGTGTTCATAGTCATGGATGGCTGCAGCAAACAGGGATGCCATCACCTCGAGCTCTGTCAGCCAGTGCTTGATAGACACAAATATAAAACCATTAAAACAACAGTACTATAATGGTTAAAAAGAAAGTACACCATCTTTCAGTTAAAAGTTTTAAATATATACATGATAAAAGTCATCTGGTCCTTATCTGGCCTTAGAAGTAGCAGAATACAACCACCCACCAAGGTGGTTGTATTTGCGCACCACAGCAGCTTCACCCATGACGCTTTTTATAGCTCCACATTCATGTCCAGTGGTGTAGGTGCTTGCCCACACAGAGCCTACAAGTGTTAAAAATATGTAGTGTCCACTGCAGTCACTGTCTGTGCTTTTAATGCAGCATTTTTATTTATATTGGAATGTTTTATGGTTCGCTTGTATAAGTCATGTGCGTCCAGTGATGTGCAGTTAGGATGTTGGAGCACCTCGGGGTGGGGGGTAAAGACCCCTTTCCGCTCATTGTCTAAATGGAAACATGTACAACGGAAATGTACACAGACACATTCGCAAGACCATAAATTATGCTTTACTCGCTAAGCCAAAAGTCTGTATGTGCAATATTTCCAGAGACACCCTTCATAAAGGTCAGATGATGAAGACAGCAACTCATAGAGTGCATAGATACAATGTAACAAGTTGAAAGTCCTGACATGGGAACTCCCTAACGTCAAGGCCATCATCTCTTTATTTAGTCTCCATAATTTTCACTCTGAAACAGCAGTGCTTAGTGGGTTAAAGAAAAGTTAGAATGGAACAGATCCTGTTTCCCTGCAACGCCATCGCCACCAAAACAGGAAGTATCATTTCTATTGTCACAGGACTGCAGGCTCTGAAAGCAAAAGTCATTTTGGAATTTGATTGTTATTTGTGCTCTACAATCGATCCTTACTGTGGTGCTAAAGTCAGGCAGTGACTCTGGTCATTAGCCTTCATCTTCAGGGTGATAATGAATGCCACATGTATTTAAAAAAAATGTAAATGCAATCCATAAGAGTTGTTAGGATATTTTAGTCTGTCGATATACTTCTAAAAAACATTTTACACCGTGTAATCCACATTTGTAAAAACAACAGATCACTGCAAATTAGGAATGTGACTCCTAAAGAAATAGGTTATATATTTGTTACCTATTTGTCTATTCAGTCAAAGCAAATGGGACACAGTGCCACAGAAAGGCCAGCGAGCTTGGAAAGTGTTAAAAGGTGGGCCGCTACACATTCTTCCTTTTGATTTTTTCATGGAATTTTCAGAAAATTAAAAAGAAAAGTTATCACACCGGCCTTATCCTTTAATAGAAAATCCAGGTTAGTCTTTTGTACCACGAGTCCGGAGCGCAGCAGCAGACAGTGCAGTGTCTGAGTTACATCAGCAGCGTGAACGTGGTTGTGGTAGGGGTTGTTGTATTTGCAGTATCCTTTCTCCAGCGCAGACAGAAATTCTGTGAGGCACGAGATGGGAATCTGCAAAAATGGTTACATAATCATCAAAAGTAAAGCTATGTTTAAAATACCACAGGTTCACAAAGTTTATGTCAACAGTAAAAGCTAAAACAACCTGGATGTTGTAATAAGGCATGATGCATGTGATTTACACACATAATTTGCTAACCCATTAGCCCTCCAAACACCACAAAGGATAATAAAACCCATATGCCTGATAATATCTGCAAATGACAACACCAGTTCCTCACAATAATACTCCTTCAGAGTGGCTCTGATTATATTACAGTGAGATCTTCCATCCAAAGCACTGAAATTCTCCAATGACTATAATGAGTCATTGTATAGACGATGAACTATACACAAACTAAACAATGAAATGCAAAGTTAAAAGACCTTAAAGCGACTGTTGAGCTCATATCTGGTGATCAGCTCAAAGAACAGAGTTCGGAGTGCATGATCAGAGCTGGCTGAGTTCAGAGCAAACACATCAAAGCTCCAACGGTCCACGTCCTAAAAAGCAAGAGAGGAAAGTACTGGTGTATACTTTTGGTGTGTATACGATAGATTATGTGATGTCCATATTTTTAGCTAAGATCCAACCCACTGTGAGAGTTATGATTAGAGGGGGCTTACCCTGAGGCAATTTACGACCGCTGCAGGTTGGTCCGGCATGGCTGCTGTGTAGGCCCTCTTGAACATCCTGGAATAAGGGAATGTTTAGGGTGAGTTCAGTTAAAGTTCAGATGTTGACGCTGTGCAGCGACCTCGGTTTAGGAGCTGTTTATATAAATCCTCTAAAGTCCCTGTCTGCTTTGGAAGGAAGTTTTAACAAGAAAATGGAGATAATGTTTCACAGCCGTGTGTAGCGGGCTGTGTTTGCTGTGGACGTAATAATAACAACAGAGTGTGAGCTTGTATCGGACTTATTGCACAGACAATGAAATCAGTCATTTATAATGGGACTTTTATTATATGAGATGCTTGTTTCCTTGTTTCTTATTATTTAAGTTTCATAAAAGAGAGTTACTGCTGTATGACTGCTTCTGTGTCTTCCAGTCAGTATTTTATGAATTGCTGTTTTAAAAAACGATTCCAGGGCTTTGAGTTCTTGTTTATCATTTTGAGTTTTGCATTCAAATTTTGATTTCATAATGATTCTGGTCATGACACTTTGAGCTTCCATTCTTGTTGAGATTTCATTGTCATTCTAGTGATGTCTGTTATTGTCTGTTATAGTATTGAGTCTTTGGCCCCAGTTTTTATTTTATTTTATTCTGTTCTCGTGTAGTTCTCGTTCCCCTGTGGTTCCCTGTGTTTGCTTTTACCTGCTGTGCATCTCTCTCCTGGTCTTCTGGGTAGCAGTGTCCCAATTTTAGCTTCATGGCAGGTTTTCTGTGGTATCTCATTTACTTTCTGTCTTTTCTTTCCTTTATGATCTGCTCCTCTTCAGCCTTTTTTAGCTTCCTTCACTTGTTCCTCCTGCGTTCTGCTCTCATAACTGTCCTGTTTCCCAGTCAATCTCCTCTGTGTATATATTCTGTATAGTTTAGCCTCATTGTTTAATCCATGTTTATGTTCTGTGTCTTTCCATCATTTTTGCCTTTTAGATTTTTTTGTCTGGATTTTCTGTTTTTTTAGATTATCATGTCTGGGTCTTTCTTTTATTTCTATAATTTCCCTACAGTACATGTCCTGCATTTGGATCCTTTCCATAACATCATTCATTATGCTTGCAGTTCTGAAATAGAAATGAATGAAACGTAATACCGCTCCACAAATATCCCAGCTTGCACTGCATGCACAATGCTGCGAAACTTGGGCTTCTCATCAGAGCGTCGCGTAGGACGGCGGATCTTCTGGGTGAAAGTGGAAGCCAGCCAGTCAGTGACCTCTGACGGCACCCCGTCTGACTGCAGTTGCTGGAGGTCATCTTCAGACTCCAGACACTGCCTGTGCGAAACAGTGACTGTTAGACAATATTAAGACACGGTAAAAATGAAGACTGAGAATGAATGAGCAGCACTAATAATGTGCCTCTGCGATATCACTGTGGTTCAGAGACGTTTAATGGTGTAAGGATAATTGTATATTACACAGTTAGATTTATTTAGAAATACTTCCATTAATTGTCCAGTCAAAAGTTTAATTAAAAAATGTAATTTCAATTGAATGTCTGTTAAATAAGCTAAGTAAGAAGTTACTACTCCCAGAAAGACTTTTGGCACTTTTTACTCTGGTTTTTATGAAAGGCAACCAAAAGAGACTTCATCGCACTGCTTCCACTCAAATATTAGCAGAGAAACAGCACCTAAAATTGCAGAAAGCAACATGTTTTTTTCCACTCTGTTTTCTCTATGACACACTGGATCATAAAATCCTCCGTTTCACACTTCATGGATTGTGTACCTCAGGCTTTGTACATCAGGCTACCAGACCACCATTCCTGAAAGACCACTTTCTGCTGTTAGACACTTACATGGCTGCTGTGCTGATGACACCAAACTTTTCTTATCAGTTTCCTCATCTGACATGCAGGGGAAGGCCTGAGAAGTCAGGAGAAAAAGAAAGTTTTCATAGGACTCTATGCAGTCCTGTGAAAAACTAAGTACACCCTTAGTGAATCCATAGGAAATAAGAAAGTAGGTAGCTATCAGGAGCTAATCAGATCCCCGTGATTAATTGATCATCAGAAGGTGTGGGCACTTCTATAAAGGCACAGGCGTTGTCATTTTGCTGGTGTGAATCATTCAGGTGAGTGCAATGAAACAATCTTTCCAGGAGATTCACATCAAGGTCAGACCACGCCATAAGGTCAAACACATTACAAAAAAACCCAAGAGCTACAGCTCAGATTCTACAGGCCTCAACTAGCATATTAAATGTTAAAGCTCATAACAGTACAATAAGAAAAAGACAGAACAAGTACAGCATGTTTGGAAGGGTTGCCAGGAAAAAGCCTTGTCTCTCCAAAAAGAAATTGGCAGCACGACTTAGGTTTGTAAAGTTGCATCGAAACAAACTGCAAGACTTCTGGAACAATGTGTTTTGGACAGAAAAGACCAAAGCTGAGATGTCTGGTCATAATGCATGCAGCTGAAAACAGTCATGAACAATAGTTTTCAGACTAGTTTAGCAGAACCTGGGCTCTTTACACTCATTGTCACACATGAACTCCTCTATATACCACAATATGCTAGACTCAAATGTGGGGCCATCTGCTCAACTGCTAAATTGGGTGAAATTAGGTCATGCAACACGTCATTGATACCACACCAACAATCTAGAGCAGAATTGCTGAAAAAGAAAAGAATGAAGGTGATAAAATGGCTCAGTCAAAGTCCAGATCTCAACCTGACTGAACTGAGAACTCTGCATAAACACATTTGTCAAACAACTCAAGAGTGGGCCTAAAATTCTCCACAATGATTTGAGAACTGATAAGGTCATATAGACAATAAGCTACCGCATAACGGGGTGTACTTATTTTTTCACAGGATTAGGTATAATCGGGTGAAAACCTTCTTTTTCATATGACTTTCACTGCTAATCCATGTGATTGTTAAAATACTTCTATCAGCCATCTGTAGCTAACCCAAAATCCCACTTTCTCACACATGCTGGTTTCTAGTTTCTGTTTGTAACAGTTTCAAAACTAGCTATATCTCTTAGAGAACACTGTGGTCATTTAGTTTAGTCGCAATGGTGAAATGTGCCCCAGATGAGTCACTGTTTAAAGGAATAACTAAACTGATTGCAACTTCATATTGTAGCAACATGACAGTGTTATCAATGATCTCATCAAAGTCTTTAAAAAGTACTTTAAAAGTACAAGACAACTCAGAGGAAGATGTAAGTGAAGCTGATCAAACAGACATGAACTGATCTTTTTTCAGTTATAAAAGCTAATCACACAGTAGGTGTCCCATGTACTCCTTGAATAACATCTTTTACACTTATATTGTTTTTCTGGCAGGACTATACTGTGGTGGTTAGTGCTTTCCCCTCGCTGCTTACCCAGGATGTGAAAGCTCAGCACTGATCTACAAAACTGATCTACAATTTTATCTTCTTTTTCTTCTTCTTCTTATAGTATTATTTTACCTTGTTCCATCGAGGTACACTGCCTCTAGTAACGATGCTGTGTATTCCAGGTTCTTTTTGATTTCTTCAAAATCAACATCTTTCTCGTCTAGCTGCTTCAGCATGCTCCTCAGCCTGAAAGTAAACGAAATATTAGAATCCTTTTTGGTGCTTGAAAATTGTTGCATGTCTCAGCATCCACGTGCAATAAGTAAAAAGCGGGATGGGTAAACATTAAAGTTCTGTTTGGGTCCAGAAACAATAGCTAAGGAACAAAAATCAGTGTTTTCTGTAACTTATTCTGCCTACGGTGTTATTTTAGGATACAAATAGGAACAGCTTGAACCTGCAGCTCCGTGAACAGGTCTTTGCAGACCGACAGCACTTGTTGTTGTCTTGAGTCAGTGAAATGACGTCCAAAGTGTTTTAACAATCAGTTGAGAAATCCTGATGAACGGAAAAAGCTCATTTGGAAGTGATTTAAGTGCCAAGCTGTCCAAAAAGGGCATCATTAGTGCCAAATTTTCCATGAGAGGAAAGCTTCCCATGGTTAGGCCCTTATGTAACTCAAATTATATCAAAATATACTCCCTGAAAAAAATCATAATTTTGTGCTTTATCTAAATGTTCTCTGAGAACACGCTGCCTCTTTTTGGTTTCGAAACTTTTAATCAAATTACGTGCTGGAAGCACATCCCCTCAAGTATAATAGAAAGCAAATGCTCGATGTCGCTCAGAGTGTAACCCACCTGCCGTGTGTTACTGTAACCTCCTCTCAGGAATGAGTCCCAAAGCTCCACGTCTGATCCAGTTGTCATTAAATTCGTATCCTTAGTTTGTAGGACTGGAATCTTTCTGCTGTGATTGTGTTTTCATTTGACTTCTGAAATATATCGACGTGATAATATACAGTATCCGTGCCGCAGATAATTTCTTCAAAACATCTTAGTGCGTTGCCCATATGGTGACCAGAATGACTGTGTTCAAACAGCGTAAGGCCGGGCAATGGAGCCAACTCCTGGGGATGAGACGCTCACAGCTTTTCAAGTGTTTATCACGCTGGCAAAGGCCTTTGAAAGCTGTCGAGTCATAAAAATAGCATGCATCTGAATACCACCGCTCACTTTCTATCTCAAGTAATCTTTCATGATAACACAGCCTTTTTTGTTTCAACTGTTTGCAGCAGAAGAACCTTTGACAGGACGTTTACAGGAAATTACTCGTCAAGTGCACTCGTGAAAGTGTGTTTATAGAAAAAGATGACAAATTCTCCTTTGGCTCAAGCATTGTTGAATCTACACATCTACACACTGCAGAATGTCGTCCTCTCCAAGTATAGATGAGCACAAGAGAATGGACTTAATGGCATCTCATTTGCAAGCACAAATTAATAAAACAACGTCACCCCAACCCCCACCCCTGTCCGCACTCAAAACCCCACAAGGTTTGGAGCTCTGAACCCTGCTCAAACTAAAAAACAGATGAGTTCACCAAAACAAAACCACATGACCCACCGCTTCTGCAACAGCTACCTCCTTCAGCAAAAGCGTGGGCAAGACAAGTGTTCACACTTGGAGTAAAACACGTTTCTTCTCTCATGTCACTATGTATATTTGTACGACCAAAAGGTTAAACGCAAAATACTTGTTGAACTTAATTAGAGCAAATACGGTGTGAAACATGTCAAACCATAACCCTCTAACTCCGAGTGTATTTTTGAGTCACATATTTCCACTTTTGCAAAACAGAAAATCTCCTGCATAGAAATGCTGTGCTGCTGAACGTTATTGTAACAAAAAACAAACAAAAGCAAGCATGTTTGATAAAGTCCTCTTGCCCTGTTCATGTAATCAAATAGAAGCTGGAGTGTGTAGTGAACTAAACATAAAGTCTATTAATTGTCTTACCTAGAGATGGGTATCTGGAGCTTTTTCTTACGGATTCGAACCAGTTCAGCCATTCCGTGCTCAAGCTGTGCTCTGATGGACCCCAGAGTTCAGTAAAAAAAAAAAA